GCAGTTGAATAAACTATATTATTATTATGGGAATTTAAATTAACAATTATTAATAAATCGTGAGGAGAGAATTATTATATTTTGAGTGGAATGAAATTTACTGGTGGAAACGGCCAAAACACAACCAAATATACATAGGTCAGACCTCCAGATCTCTTAAAGGAAGGATTACATCACACAAAAGTGATGCTAGGCTTCATCCTGAAAGATGCGCTCTAGCATCTCATGTTAACACAACAGGGCATTCTATGAATTACACAAGTATCAAAGTTCTTGATAAAGAAAAACACCTTTCCAAACGTTTATTCCTGGAAATGTCCCACATTTTCATGAATAACAACTGTATCAACAAAAAGACAGATGTTAAACAACTGAGTGTCATTTACTCATATTTGCTAAACTGCGAAAAATTGGAGAACTTACATATCTCCCCAAATTTCAACTCTTCACAACCATAATTAGAATCTGTGTTTTGGCCGTTTCCACCAGTAAATTTCATTCCACTCAAAATATAATAATTCTCTCCTCACGATTTATTAATAATTGTTAATTTAAATTCCCATAATAATAATATAGTTTATTCAACTGCCTCTGGTCGGTTTAACAAATTCCATCATAAAATTCTGAAAATCTCTTCATCTGAAGTGATTTGGCAACGTTTTTGGCACACGCCCACAATTCGTTCCATCTTTCAATACTGACATTGACATCCTTCGGCCTTCTGTCAAAGGGTTTCATGTCACTCATCAATTCATCATTCCATGACCACTAATTTGTGCAATCATCAGGTGGTTTCACGATGTAATGTTCTAATTTTTTAAAATAATTTTTAATCTGTTTTTAACGTGTTCTTGTCATGTTTTGTATAAATTTTGACTATTGTGCAACCTATTCAGCTCTCACCATGTTACTGGACGTTTCCCTCATCCTATACGAAAACAACAATTAGCAACATTCTCACATACTACTGTAAGTTGAGTCAATTTAAATTCATTTTACACCTTTGTTGCTACTGTTATCATTGTAATTACAGCTCCTGATGATGATGGCAAAGTCCATTGAAAGCTAGAGAGAATTAAAAAAAGTATAAAGAGTCCTCTTTGCTTAAATCTTGTCGAAGTATCCAACAAAAAGCGGAAGCTTTAATTTTTCACCTAACTGGTCTAGACGACAATGACCACGTCTCAAGTTATATATATATATATATATATATATATATACAGGGTGACTTCGAAGTTGAGTCATTTATTTTAACAGTGAGTAGATCTGATCAAAAGAAATGTTTTTTTCCTTTACCATTTTTCTGGTAAAATTAAAGTAACAAAGTTATAGCCCTTTGGAAGTTTGAGTACCGCCCTGTCTCAATAATAATATCATGTACTCGTGTTTGGCAACAACGGATATAATCCGCCTTACCGGTTCATCAAGAATTTGGAACGATGTTTTTGCAATGAAGTATTTTATTCAGTTCAGTTATACATACAGTCAGTATCTGTCGGTTAGCGTGTTAATAGTGTCTGTTGCGTGGCTCAAACGAAATAAAAAATGGCACATGTTTATGCGGATCGGTTTCCCAATCGAGTGCAACCAACCCCTCGTGCCTTTGTTAATGTAGTACAACGGGCTCGTGAATCAGGTGACTTAAGACCTCACAGGGGACCTCACGATCAAATACAGGTCCGCACTGAAATACTTGTCGGGAGGATACTTTTTAAAACAAGGTAAAATTTTTTTTTTACTTTTTTTTATTTTTACACACATATTCTGGTTTATCTTCCTTCTACAATCATTATCTGAAAATTAATGACTCAACTTCAAAGTCACCCTGTATATATGTGTGTGTATGTTACTGCACAAGCCCGAACTGTGGCAAATCCTAAGATTTTCTGGTAAAACCTAAGATTTACCAACTCTCAATGGTAAAAGTCCGAACGTTCTTTTATTTCGAACTTTTACCACCCTTTAATTAGTAAATCTTAGGATTTACCGTAATGACACGGTAAAAGTTGATAAAGACATTTCATAACGTGTTCAATAGCAGTTATAACAAATAATAAGTTTCTCACTAAGAACCTAATAATTAATGACGATTATCTTTTTTTTTCAATTTGTTCGTAAATACCAAATTATAAGAAAAATACTGATTCAGTGAGATTCAATTAGCGAACGTAAGCGTTATGTTTGTGAGAAGATATGATACATATAGATACATATGTACAGATAAGGTTCATAAATACATAATAATAATGATAATAATAAATGGGATTTATTTCGTACCTGAGTAAAAGTACAAAAAAGGCGAAGTGTCGCTAAGATTAGCGTTTTTCAACTTAACCTTAACCTTAACAAACAAAAAACTATATATACCAGCAAAAATGTATCCATAATTCTCAATAATTACTAAATAATTAACAACACAGAACAATTACAAGAATAGTCCATATTTCTAGCATTTTGTACTCATCATCAGACCTCGACTTGTATTTTTAGTTTAAGCCTCTTTTTAAAATTAAATAACGTATAGTTTTGGAATGTAACAGGCAGCTCATTATATAATTTAATAGCATTGTAGCTGAATGATGTTTTGTAGACAGCCTTAGAATGTAAGGGTATCACTAACATATTCCTATTCCTTGTATTCAGTTGATTTATGTCACTACATCGTGTTAACTTATTATGCAAATATTGTGGTTGTTTGGTAGCTAAGACCTTATGTGTGAGTGTCAATAAGTGAAGCTTTTGCATGCCTTTAATCTGCAGAATACCAAGTTCCTTAAATTTATGAGAAATATAATCAAACTTTCGTATTCAGCAAGAAAATCTGATACACGAATTCTGAATACGCTGTAATTTGCTTTGTTCACTATATGATAGAGCTGCGCCATATATACTGTCACAATAACTGGTTTTTGATATAATTAATGTTTCACACCGTTTCAGCTTTACTGAAGTAGATATTATTTGCCTATGTGGATAAAACTGTTTCAAAATGCAGTATGATGCACTACATAACGAATTTACGTGTTTTTTGTATTTTAGTTCTGTGTCAATCCAGAGTCCCAGGTTTTTACACTCATTCATTATAGGAAGCCGGCAATCATAGAGTTTAAGGTTAATTTCCGTTTCGATCAATGTTCTTTTGTTTTTTGAGCCGAAAACCATAACTGAAGATTTAGATGGATTAATTTTTAGGTTATGCGAGCACGAGATGTCTACTAGCCTTGTTAAGTCTTCTGCAATTTTAAGATCTTTGTGTTGGAAACTAAAATAAATTTGAGTATCATCAGCATACTGATTGGTTGTGCAATTATGGACATATTGATGGAAATCCGATGTATATAGAGAGAACAGTAAAGGTCCCAGTATGGAACCTTGAGGAACACCAAAACCATAGTAAGACAGCTTAAGTAGCAGAATTTTAGGGTCTATCATATCGAAAGCTTTTGTGTAATCCAGCAGAACTAAACAAGTGATATTTCCTTGATCAAGGCCTCTTATAACGTCATCAGTGACATTGGCTAGAGCAGTTGTTGTACTATGGTTTTCCCTGAATCCAGACCGTATTGATGGAACTATTTCGTTACTGAAAATATACTGAGATATTTGTATCTTCATTTCCCGTTCCAAAAGCTTCGAAAATGCGGGAAGTAAGCTGACTGGTCTAAGTTGCGTTACAAACGTGGGAATCGCTACTTTAGGAATAGGTATGATGATAGCCTGCTTCCAAGCATCAGGGAAACAGGTTGTTGATATTGCGTGATTGATTATAAATGTAATATGGTCTAAGAGCAAAGTGAAAATGTATTTTATCATAATGTGTGAGATTCCATCAGCCCCTACAGCATTAGTTTTAATAAATGAGAAACTCTTCGCAACAGATTCTTTGGCAACCTTTTGGAAACAGAATGACTTGGGAAACTTATTGTTTTGATATTTGTTCAGTAGTTCTAATTGGTTTTGTGTCTTGGTTATGATCGGAATATTTGAGAAATGTGAATTTATTTCATCTGCGTCATTGAAGCTATCTGGAAGAGTATTTATAGAGGACTTAATTATATTAAGTTTCCTAAGAGAACTCCATATTGCTTTACAGTTCGTCCCAGATAGGATATATTCCATATAAGCCTTTTTCTCTCTCCGCAGAGCAGCAGCAGCGTAATCACGGAGTTCTCTATAATAGTTCCAGTGGGCAGTTGACTTACTTCTTTCAAACCTTAGATACGCTTTATCTGTAGCTTTATTGATCATTTTAATATTGTATGTTAGCCATAGAGCTGGTGGCTTAGTAATTCTAAGTGTTCTCATAGGTGCAAAATTATCAAATAAATTTAGTATGTTGCTATTTAAAAAATTTACCATGTCATTAACGCTGTTTAATTGAAAAATATCATCCCAAAGATTCGAATGAAATAAATCATAAAAAGTACGTTCATTAAAGTTACGAAAGTCTCTAAACGTATAAAACTGCTGCGTCCGGTTGCTTAACGTTTTATGGAGGTGACAAACAACAGCTGAATGATCAGATAACTCATGAACTGGTACAACATTGCAGTTTGTTACATTTTCTCCATCTGAGCAGATAATAAGATCTATCAATGTTTGTGAGTGGCTTGTAACTCTCGTGGGAGCATCTACTACCTGCTTCAAATTGAAAGAATCTAAAAAATTTAGCATAATATCAGGAACAAGGAGGTCGATACAATGCACCGAAGGTATACGTTTTGCCATCGAATCTGAAACTGATCCATTGCTCTTCCAAAAAGGGATCAATATTTGTACGGAGTAACTTGAATTTTATGTGTTCCTTTAGAAAGAAGCCGACACCTCCCCCTCTACCGATTCTGTCCGCATGTATAAAATTGTAATTGGGAATACGGATATCCGAAGATCCGATATCCATGATTCAACCAAGTTTCAGTGACTGCAAATATATCGAAATTTTCAGTAATCACAAAATCCTGGAGTAGACAAAATCCTGACAAAAGCGATCTAACGCCTTAGGCTGATCGTCCATTGGAAGCGTAGTCGCGCGACTCGAAGGTAGCGCGTATACGCCCGTGTATGAGCGATCATGAGACTGAGCGACTGGCATCATTCACTGCAGGCGACTCTATACGACTTAGTTCGCAACTGTCATCATCGAAAGAAAGTGTGCTCTGTAAAATCATGTGAAATGGATTTGCAAAACATGTACTTTTTGGAGCAACCTTACATAATAAGGCGTTTGAGAGCTCGTCGTGATAAGAAGAGACGTTTGTGTTGGATAAATGAAATACTTAGTAGAAGAAATTTACTGGGAGAATTCCATCACCTACACGACGATTTACTGAATGATCCGCAGAAATTCTTTGATTATTACCGGATGAGTCTAGAGACATTTCAGTACATTTTGAGTGCTATAGAGTCATCGATCGCCAAAGATTCATTCAGGGAGACAATAAGACCTGTGGAACGTTTAAGTGTGACTTTAAGATAAGTAAATTTATTCAATTGTTATAAATCTATATTAAGTTTGATTGAACAAAAAAAGGTAACAAAACCATCTATCATAAAAAGAAAATAAAAAAAGTACTCAATAGTCGGACAATATGCATTCGTGTTGTAATTCTTATTGCGCCTGGTCGGTATTAGCCTTCTTATTATAACACAGTTACTGGATATCTTGAAAGTTCCCGAAATATTGTCGCAAACCTGTATTAATCTGGTCTGCAGATGAGTTCGACGTTTGAATCGTCCATGAGGGTCCACCGGTTTCGCTGGTGCAAGGCGAGGGTACCGGTGTTGTTGTGTAGGTCGATGGGGTATGCGGGGATCTGTGGTATTGCTCTTTTTCATCAATAAGAACTTGCTGAATTTTATTTCTTGCATGCAATTTGCGGTGTTCTGGAACTTTTTTTAGATATGGAAGAAGACTAACCAAAAACTGATAGTCGCTGTCTCCTTCTTTGTTAGCATGTTCAGTAAATAACTGCAACTTAGCCCTCTCGATTTCTAGAAATTTATCTTCAACCGTGATGTCTGCTGGTGTATATTTTTTACGTTTAGGATTGCTAGTTCTAGGTGTTATTGGAGGACCAGCAGGACGAACGTCAGGATTACCTGGTTGTGTATCATGCTGTTTTCTACGCGTCTGATGATTGCTTGCAGGTACTGGGGGTTCCATCTTACTGGTTTCGCTCGATGACATATTGAGTTCTCCTTTGTCAGTGACAACTGCTTGTGGTGATTCCATATCAGGCAAATCATCTTCATCGGCAATATCGTCTCCGTCATTATTTGGAGAAAATGTTCTTTCTGGCGAGGCAACATTTCCCTTCAGCTGTCGTGGCTCAATTATGACGGAGAGAAACAGCATCTGGTCGAAGAAAGTCCATGAAGAGGAACCTTCCTCCGGCGCCTCATCTCCTGATTTATAGACTTTTTTATATTCTCTTCTAAATACATCGCGCAGTCCTTTCCAATTTTTCTTTACTTCGTTCACTAAAACACAAAACCACAGTTTTGGTTAATATTGCAAATAGGAACATAAACAATTTTTTTTCAATAAATGTTCATAATGATTAGAGAATGTCAGATATAACCGTTGGAAGAATAGTTAAAGAAACGTGTATTGCTATTTGGGACCAGTTGAGCACCCTACATGTGCCATTTCCTCCTACAGATGAACAGCAGGAGTCAATAAAAGAAGGTTTTTGGCGTAAATGGAAATTTCCTAGTTGTGTTGGGTGCATCGATGGAAAACATATACGCATACGAAATCCAGACCATTCAGGCAGCATGTTCAGAAATTACAAGCATTTCTTTTCAACTGTGCTACAAGGTGTGGCGGGACCAGATTACAAGTTTATTACCATTGATACAGGAGGGTACGGCAAGGAAAGTGACGGTGGTGTGTTTTATAATTCCCGCCTTCATAGAAGGCTTGAAAACAATGAGTTGGGTAATAAACGGCTTACCACACTGCCTGGATCGAATATTAAAGTTCCGTGCGTGCTGTTGGGAGATGAAGCCTATCCATTGAAAACTTACTTGATGCGACCTTTTCCCGCATCACAACTTGGACCTTCACATACAATTTTCAATAAACGACTTTCACAAGCACGGCAAGTCATTGAATGCGCGTTTGGTATTATTTCCGCCAAGTGGAGAGTACTTCAAAAAGGAATTGAGGTTGAACCAAACTTTGTCGATGATATCGTTAAATGTGTATGTTTGTTGCACAATATTATAATTGACAAAGAAGGCGAACAACAACCTATGTCAATACCTCAACAATCAGAAACCAGTACTACAACAGCCAGATTTGCTTCCCTAGGCGAAAATAGGGGCGTCACTACCGCTTATGTGATCAGAGACAAATTCGCAGCATATTTTTGTGAACATCAAGCAAATACCTAAAAGAACTTGTGTCTGAAGTAAAAGCTTTGCACTGACGGTCTATTTTTGCCTGAATATCTCTTATGTTTTGTTCACTTTGTAATATAATAATGATATTGAAAACAACACTTACCATTATTAGTAACACCTACTTCGTCTGCAACTTTCGACCACAATTTCCTCTGAACATCACGAGAATGATACCTTTTGTCTTTCATGTTCCACAACGGAGGCTTTTCACGAACGGCACTAATCAATTTTTCGTTATCAATTTCCATATCGAAAACTAAATATTACCTGCACAGAACACACGAACCCAAACGCAATGAATAATTTTATGGCGTCTTCGTCAGAGATAACCCTATGGTCTTCGTTTGCACATGCGATCACAAGCGACTAATCCCATTTTGGAGGGATCGGTCGCCAGTCGCTTGTGGTCGGCCGAGGTCGGTCGCTCAAGGTCGCTTACAGTGGATGTTGTTTACATAATTTGTCATTTGTTAGGATCAGTCGCTTGTATACGGGCGTATACGCGCTACCTTCGAGTCGCGCGACTACGCTTCCAATGGACGATCAGCCTAAGATGACCAACTTTAATGTCTTACATGTAAATTAATGTCTATTTGATAGTAAAGAAATAGTACAAAAAAAATAAAAATAGTCAGTCCACACTACTCAATTATTCTAAGGAGTACGTATATATGTATTCTACAAAAAAGAAAATATATATATATATATAACTTGAGACGTGGTCATTGTCGTCTAGACCAGTTAGGTGAAAAATTAAAGCTTCCGCCTTTTGTTGGGTACTTCGACAAAATTTAAGCAAAGAGGACTCTTTATACTTTTTTTAATTCTCTCTAGCTTTCAATGGACTTTGCCATCATCATCAGGAGCTGCAATTACAATGATAACAGTAGCAACAAAGGTGTAAAATGAATTTAAATTGACTCAACTTACAGTAGTATGTGAGGATGTTGCTAATTGTTGTTTACGTATAGGATGAGGGAAACGTCCAGTAACATGGTGAGAGCTGGATAGATTGTACAATAGTCAAACTTATATAAAATATGACAAGAACAAGTTAAAAACAGATTAAAAATTATTTAAAAAATTTAGAGCATTACATCGTGAAGCCACTTGATGATTGCACAAATTAGTGGTCATGGAATGATGAGTGACATGAAACCCTTTGACAGAAGGCCGAAGGATGTCAATGTCAGTATTGAAAGATGGAACGAATTGTGGGCGTGTGCCAAAACGTTGCCAAATCACTTCAGATGATGAGATTTTCAGAATTTTATGTTAGAATTTGTTAAACCGACCAGAGGCAGTTGAATAAACTATATTATTATTAATGGGAATTTGAATTAACAATTATTAATAAATCGTGAGGAGAGAATTATTATATTTTGAGTGGAATGAAATTTACTGGTGGAATCGGCCAAAACACAGATTCTAATTATGGTTGTGAAGAGTTGAAATTTGGGGAGATATGTAAGTTCTCCAATTTTTCGCAGTTTAGCAAATATGAGTAAATGACACTCAGTTGTTTAACATCTGTCTTTTTGTTGATAGAGTTGTTATTCATGAAAATGTGGGACATTTCCAGGAATAAACGTTTGGAAAGGTGTTTTTCTTTATCAAGAACTTTGATACTTGTGTAATTCATAGAATGCCCTGTTGTGTTAACATGAGATGCTAGAGCGCATCTTTCAGGATGAAAGCAGCGGGACTTTGTCTTTCATTTTTGAAAAAATGCAGTTTATAGTGAGGACGGATTTGCAAGCAATTCGAAAGTTCAAAGGACTGCACAATCTGATCAGCTTAGGGGTCAGTTCCTTGATGTAGGGCAGGACAGCAAAACCAGGTCTGGAGTCCGGGTTGGTGCTTGTACTGTTAGGATTGATGTTATTATTGGGAATTACATCAGTTCCGTTATTAGGGGTTGTGCGACTATTACCTGCATCACCAGAGTTCGGCAAAATATTGGAAGGTGAACTAAAAATGATCTTGTTAATCACACACTTCGGATAACCATTATTGATGAACAGTTTTGATAGTTTACGTAAATTTGAGGTGTGGAAGGTATTATCTGAGATGCTGATTACCCTTGTTTTCATCTGTTTTACCAAATTGATTTTAATCCCTAGCTTATGGTATGACCTGAAATTGAGAAACCGACCTGAGGCCATAGGTTTCTGGTACCAGTCTACCAATAAACTGTTGTTGTTGGTGCGAATGAGTCTTGTGTCTAGAAAGGGGACAAACAGGTTCTCATCTTCTTTTTCAATGGTAAATTGGATGTAGGGGTCATAGCTGTTGAATTCTCTGACAATACCATCCAGACCTATGGAAGGGAGGCATAAAATAATGTCATCTACGTATTTTTTTATGAAGAAGAGGTTATAGGGTAGTGTCGGAATAACAGTATCAAGCAGATCATCCATGACATATTCTGCCAAAATTGGTGACAGAACAGATCCCATAGGACAACCATGTGTTTGAGAATATATTTTGTTGTTGAAAGAGAAATAATTGTTATGAAAAAGGAATGTTATAATGTTGGTGAAAGATTCTAGAGATATGTTGCAGTGTTGACTTATCTCATTCCAGTGTTTATTAATAGTTCTTGTACATGCATCCAGATAGATGTTGCTGAATAGCGACACCACATCAAGACTGGCGATAATATGATCGGCTGGTATTGTCAATCTGTTGAACTGACGAGAGACTTCAAATGAGTCTTTGATGTAGTAATCATTATCTGCATGTGCTGATTTTAGTGTTGTCGATATTAATGAAGACAAAGCCTGGGTGGCTGAACCTATTGATGCAACTATAGGTCTTACTGAGAGTACAGGTTTGTGAATTTTCGGAAGTGCATAAAATTTGGGAGGGACAGAGTTATAAGTAGTCAAAGTTCTTTTTTGTTCTTGGGTTATTTGTCCAGTGCTGAGAAGTTCCTTAACAATGTCATTACTTTTCTTTTCCACTTTAAGTGTGGGATCTTTATTAATTTCATGATATGATGGGTCATCATTGATGAGATTGTTGCAAAGATCTAAATAGTGTTGTTTAAGCATTATCACTGTAACATTGCCTTTGTCAGATCTTGTAACCATAAGTTCAGGATGTTGTTTTAGAAATGTTCTAGTTTTGTTTAAAAGGTTGTGATAAAAGGAATGTTTTTTATTAAGATTGTTATTATGATAGTAGTTAGTGATGAGGTTAGTGGAACGAGTTGTGAAAATGTTTCTTTCAGTGTCATCACTTATGGAGGACACCAAAAAAACCTTCCTCAACACTCAACAAAATTGGATAAAAAATCTCAGTAACGTTGACATCCCTCATGACATATTAAAATTTCTTTCCTTAGGGCCTAACTTCAGTGTAGAGCCGATTGTTAACAATGACATTCCAATTAGATCAATCCTAGCGGATGTAGACACAATAGCATCCTCCATAAGTGATGACACTGAAAGAAACATTTTCACAACTCGTTCCACTAACCTCATCACTAACTACTATCATAATAACAATCTTAATAAAAAACATTCCTTTTATCACAACCTTTTAAACAAAACTAGAACATTTCTAAAACAACATCCTGAACTTATGGTTACAAGATCTGACAAAGGCAATGTTACAGTGATAATGCTTAAACAACACTATTTAGATCTTTGCAACAATCTCATCAATGATGACCCATCATATCATGAAATTAATAAAGATCCCACACTTAAAGTGGAAAAGAAAAGTAATGACATTGTTAAGGAACTTCTCAGCACTGGACAAATAACCCAAGAACAAAAAAGAACTTTGACTACTTATAACTCTGTCCCTCCCAAAATTTTATGCACTTCCGAAAATTCACAAACCTGTACTCTCAGTAAGACCTATAGTTGCATCAATAGGTTCAGCCACCCAGGCTTTGTCTTCATTAATATCGACAACACTAAAATCAGCACATGCAGATAATGATTACTACATCAAAGACTCATTTGAAGTCTCTCGTCAGTTCAACAGATTGACAATACCAGCCGATCATATTATCGCCAGTCTTGATGTGGTGTCGCTATTCAGCAACATCTATCTGGATGCATGTACAAGAACTATTAATAAACACTGGAATGAGATAAGTCAACACTGCAACATATCTCTAGAATCTTTCACCAACATTATAACATTCCTTTTTCATAACAATTATTTCTCTTTCAACAACAAAATATATTCTCAAACACATGGTTGTCCTATGGGATCTGTTCTGTCACCAATTTTGGCAGAATATGTCATGGATGATCTGCTTGATACTGTTATTCCGACACTACCCTATAACCTCTTCTTCATAAAAAAATACGTAGATGACATTATTTTATGCCTCCCTTCCATAGGTCTGGATGGTATTGTCAGAGAATTCAACAGCTATGACCCCTACATCCAATTTACCATTGAAAAAGAAGATAAGAACCTGTCTGTCCCCTTTCTAGACACAAGACTCATTCGCACCAACAACAACAGTTTATTGGTAGACTGGTACCAGAAACCTATGGCCTCAGGTCGGTTTCTCAATTTCAGGTCATACCATAAGCTAGGGATTAAAATCAATTTGGTAAAACAGATGAAAACAAGGGTAATCAGCATCTCAGATAATACCTTCCACACCTCAAATTTACGTAAACTATCAAAACTGTTCATCAATAATGGTTATCCGAAGTGTCTGATTAACAAGATCATTTTTAGTTCACCTTCCAATATTTTGCCGAACTCTGGTGATGCAGGTAATAGTCGCACAACCCCTAATAACGGAACTGATGTAATTCCCAATAATAACATCAATCCTAACAGTACAAGCACCAACCCGGACTCCAGACCTGGTTTTGCTGTCCTGCCCTACATCAAGGAACTGACCCCTAAGCTGATCAGATTGTGCAGTCCTTTGAACTTTCGAATTGCTTGCAAATCCGTCCTCACTATAAACTGCATTTTTTCGAAAATGAAAGACAAGGTCCCGCTGCTTG